AAATGGGAAAAAGTTAGGATAACCAAATAGGCAACAAGCAAACAAAAGTTCTCACTTACCAAGGACCTGCAAATTAATACTAAAATAAGAAGCCATAATGAAATCCATTCCCAAAAGCCAGATTTGAAGACGGAAAACATCAAATGTTGATGTGGGGAAACTGAAATTCTCATATATTGGTCAAGTAGTATTAAGTCAGAGCAAACATTTGGAAAAGTATTTAGCAGTATCTACTAAAGTTAAACAAGTATATGTCCTCGTAATTCCAGTTCTACATATAACTAAGAGATATAAGAGCATATATGTCCACACAAAGATTTGCACAAGAATATTTAAAGCAGCGTTATTCAAAACAGTTAAGAGCTGAAAATTATTCTGTTGATTTTTCTGGGTTATTTTCTGTGGTCTAATCATAAAATGAAATACTACACAGTACTAAAAAACAAAAATGAATTAACATGGATAAATCTCAGGTACCCATCAAAGAAAAAAGTAACTACTGTATACTTTCAACTGATACTTAGGAACAGGAAAAATTAGTGTATGATGAGAAAAACGAGAAAATTCAGAATAATATTTACTACTGGTTGAATATATAACGGAGCTCTAATGTCATGCTGAAAATATTCAAAGTCTTCTTACTTCCTGTATATGAATGTAAAAATTGTCAAGCTTTACATAAAAATAAATGTACACTTTACACAAGAATGTTAAAACCTGATATAAAAATTTAAAAACATATAAATTCTAAGAAAATTACCTAGCTATTAAATAGTCCACTTTCAATTTTAGCACCTTCTGCAGAATACTGGAGTCTTGTATAAGATACCGAAGTGCCCGTAGCCCTGCTGCTCGCACTTCTTTTGCTTCATTTAATAAAGCTAAGCGCAAACTGTGTGAAAATAAACAAAAGAATTTTGTTGCATGAGTTTCAAATGCACATAAAATTATACTACAGGCTAAGAAGTATCCTTTATCCAAAAACACTTGGGATGAGGAAAGTTTTGGATTCTGCAACTTGGGGGATTTTAGAATTATTTGCATAGACCATACTAAGTGAGAATTCCTAATCTACAAATCCAAAGCTTTTGAACACTTATATGACACTAAGAAACTTTCAAATTTTGGAGTATATTGGATTTCAGACTTTAGGATTAGGTACGCTCAACCTGTATCAAATTCTTCCTCAGTGGAGCTATGTAAAACTTCTAACTATGCATGATTAATTCTACCTGAATTTTGCTTATATAAAAACCATTCACTCCAAACCACAAATTTCACTTAGTGATGGTGGTGTTTTTAATCTTTCCTTCTTGGTACATTCTTATAATCAAACAAATGTTACTGAGTTTTATTCTATCTTCTATGTCTACATTATATAAACAATAGGAAATTAAGTATATCTTTTTCAAGCTATATCATATATGCCTCACAATCTATTCTCCTTCATTTGTCTTATTTGATTCTAACTGTATAAAAGAATCATTTGTTTAAACCAGAAATAAAAATGCTTTATAATGACAGCACAGACCATTTCTTTCAATTTTAATTCCTAAGAGAACCATAAGGATGAAAATGAAAGTATATTAAATATTATGCCTATTAAATATTATGCCCTAAGTATACATTCTCTTAGAGATCTAAAGTTATAGATTTCTTTATTCCTGGGCCAAATATGAGAAAAATTCAACCTGGAAATTTTAGATTTAATTTGGAAATTTAAATTATAAAAATCAAGGTGCTTTTGACCATTAGCTTTGGTTCTTCATGTTTAAAAATTACAAAGTATCAACAAAGATTTACAAGATAACAAAACCACTGAAGATCCTGAATGTTTCTAATGTTGAAGTAGCTTACTTCAAAATAAACTATTAGGGGCTATATTATCTTATTTCTAGTTTAAAATGACTAAAATCCGGAAGAGATGGGGAGGTAAGTGAACAATACTTACCAAATTATGATATCTTCATAGTTAAAGCCCAGTCTTTCTTCACTGTGTCCAATATCACAAAGAAGCTGTTAGAGAAACAAAACAAAGTATGTATACATGAGTTGTGAATTTTTATACATTATATTTTTAAGTTTGAAAATAGATATTTTAATAAATGATTTTTATGATTTTACCACAAATCTCTTGATATCTATTTCTTTTAAAAATTTTTTATTTGTTCTTTTTAGTTATACATGACAGTAGACTGTATTTTGACACATTATGCATACATGGAGTATAACTTCCCATTCTTGTGGTTGTCCATGATGTGGAGCTTCACTGGCTGTGTATTCACATATGAATACAGGAAAGTTATGTCTGATTCATTCTACCGTCTTTCCCATTTCCATGTCCCCTCCCTTCTCTTCATTCTCCTTTGTCTAATCCAATAAACTTCTATCCTCCCCCTATTATTGTGTATTAGCATCCACATATCAGAGAGGAAAATTTTGCCTTAGGTTTTTTGGGATTGGCTTATTTCAGTTAGCATGATAGTCTCTAGTTCCATTCATTTACCAGCAAATACCGTAATTTCATTCCTCTTTATCACTGAGTAATATTCTACTTTGTGTGTCTATACGCGCGTGTGGGAATATATCACATTGTCTTTATCCATTCATCTGTTGAAGGGCTCCAAGATTGGTTCCATAGCTTAGCTGTTGTGGATTGAGTTGCTATAAACATTATGTGGCTGCATCACTATAGTATGTTGATTTTAGGTCCTTGTGTATATGCTGAGGAGTGGGACTAACTGGGTCCAATGGTGGTTCCATTTCAAGTTTTCTGAGGAATCACCATACTACTTTCCAGAGTGGTTTATGCAAATTTATTTCTATCATCTGTTTTTTATTTGACCTATCAAATTTAAATTTCTTTAACCCACCTATCCTATTTTCAGTAAATCATTTCTATTATTCTATTTCCCCACAGTAATTTTATTGTTTAAAAACTACTTTTTAAGTGTTTACTTTAAATTTTATAGCATATGTTCCTAGCTTATAAGTCTAACAGAAATTATTTCTATACCATGTTCTCAATAATGTTAAGTCTTAAAATATTCTAACTACATTTATTGTCCTCATATTCCATTTCACTGTTATTTCTTTTTCTATTTCTAAACACCATAAGGCATTATTGTTATTGTTTTAGTTTTTGTAGTCAGTATTTAATCAATATCAATTTATATTTATGCCCCATTAATCAATTATCAATTTATATTTATCATATATTTAACATCTTCATTCCTTTCTTCATTTTAGTAGTTCCTCCTAACTTGAAAATTGTGTTTGTTGTTGCTACTGACAAATTTTGTTGGTGTTTTGATTTAATGTTAGCCCAGCTTCCTAGTTACAATTCCCTTAATTTTAGTTTGAGAATAATTTTTCATTTTAGCTTTCATTTTTGAAGACTATTTTGCTGGATATATAGACTATTAGGTTAACTGCTATTTTATCCCAACAGTTTCAAGCCATTCTTTCTCTTGAGAAATTCACTGTCAGTGTTACTATTGGCTGTTCTGAAAGTTATAATCTTTTTTCTCAGTTACTATTAAAGACTTTTTTCCTAATTTTTTTAGTTTTTTGTTCTTTTCTTTTTTATTAGTACATTATAATTATACCTTAACAGTGGGATTCATTGTTACATATTTGTACATGCAGACAATATAACAATATTGGTAATTTTTTTTCCCCAGTACCTCTCTTGTTCCTCTTATCCCTCACCCTGGCCTTCTTCATTTGTTCTCCTGATCCCCCTTCTATTTTCATGTGATCTCCCCCACATTTTTTCCTTTCTAGATTCCTCAGATGAGAGAAAATATTTGTATGTTTTCTGTGACTTTCTGAGTTTGGTTTATTTTGCTTATCAAAGTGCTCTCAAAATTCTTCAAAAGAATAAAAGTGGAACCATCATATGACCCAGGTATCTCACTCCTTAAGATTTTTCTAAAAGAACTAAATCAGCATATTGTAGTAATACAGGCAAATAAATGTTTATAGCAGCACATATTTACATAATTATTATTTACATAATTCCCTATAGTCAAATTATGTAAACAGCTCAGGTGCCTGTTAATACATGAATGACACCATGAAGTTTTATTTAGTAGCCATAAAGAGAAATGGAATTTAGGCATTTGCTGATAAATGGATGAATCTGGAGACCACTATGCTAAATGAAACAAGCCAGACTCAGAAAGTTAAGGGTCCTATGTTTTCTCTCTTTCATGGAAGCTAGAGCAAAATAAGGGGATAAAAACAGGGTTGGGAAATCCCATGAAAATATAAGAAAGATGAAGGAGGAGAGAAGGGAGATGAGCAAAGGGAGGAAATGCAGAACAAAATCAACAAAATGATATCATGTACATATACGACTATACCACAGTGAATTCCCCATTTATGTATATCTATAAAGCACCAATTCAAATAAGTAAATAAATAAATATTAGGAAGATAAGTAGAGGAAGAGGAACCAGGGGAGAAAAGAGAGGAAAGAAAGAGGAAGTACTAGAGACCAAAATGAAGCAAATTATATTCCATTCATGTTTGATTATGTCCAAATAAAACCCTGCTAGTATGT